AAGTTCAAATGAAGTGGGTGTAAGCAATAATAGGCAACCTACGGCCTTCAACAATGAGAAAACCCCCATACCATATAGTCGGCTATAAAAGGCCCTGACATGAAAAATATGAAACAACTTTACAGTGATGACTGATGAGTCGTAATCAGTGAGGACTTTTCGAATATGTCGAACACCAATCAGTCCCATTTGCCTGTCATGACTACAGGTGCAAACTTGTTAAGTCATGAATTTAAAGCCATAAACATTGGGTTAAGGACAACTAATATAAGCCAGATAAACTTTTGCAAATGGTCGACGATTTTATGTGTTTCACGGAATTTCACACATGTTTCAAGGAAGACGAAAGAATAACAAACATTGATTAGTGTAATAGCAAATGCTTTAAAATTACGCAAATTTTGTCCGAAATATTTATCTTTACCCAAAATGACATGTATTGGTCGCTTACACCTGTTTTTATGATCATTTTAAAAGTATTGCAGCCTTATGTATAGTTAAATATCTGTATGTGCTTATTTAGACACGAGTTATGATACCGAGCCAAGGGTTTACCATACAATTCCTTGATGGAACCAGAGACACATGTCTCTAATGGAGTTAGTAGATGTAGTTCATCTTTTTAATGAAGGGGAAAATCCTATAACTATGGATCTTAAAGATGAAACCTCATGAATTCCAATGAAAAAAAATCTACGATGAGAAAATATTCAAAGTTTATAGAGATACTTACCATCACTGGCAAATTGTCCCCGATAACAGTATATTTAAGAAAAATCCAGAAACGTTGTATTAATTTATATATATTCAGTCAGGATTCATCTTCGTCAAAATTATCTCTCCATTACGCCACGGTAAAAATGGAAACCATTGAAGTGATGACGCGCTGTCAATTTAGCTCTTAAAAACCGATAAATTTATCCACATACCATCATTACGATCCTTATATGCCAGTTGTATTTTAAAAGACAAATATATCTACTAGCTATTGAGCATTATTTAATGTACTTTTATGCATTTGGTCAACTTAAAACTATTGTCTGATCGGTTGTCCGGGGGGGATTTTCGAAAGTTCAAACATAATTTAAAAAATTCTAATTAAATATTTCGTCGAAGGGCAGACTCAAAATTTTCAGAGGTTGAAGACTAATTACCCTAGATAACACACACAAAAAATGAAGTTTTTTTGAAGTTATGCAGTTTTAAGATCCACTTGAAAAGTCTGTCGTCAAGTACTTTTAGTAAAAATTTGTTATTAGAGCACACCTACTCTGTTGTTATGACTCATTAGAAAGGTATTTCACTTGACCCATTTATTTCATTTTTTAGAACTGTAAATTTTTAATGCTATCCTATCAACCTGGAGCCTATACATATAGAAATAATAGAATCTGAAGCGAGATGATGTATCAAATATTTTTTCTTTTTTACATTTTCAAGACAGAATGGTCAACTCAAACACACCAGAACATGAAAAGGTGTACTCCGCTTTCTCTTTTCGATGAAATTATTGCCCATTTTGGGGATTTCCCCAAAAAACTGTCGCCGGGGGCAGAGATGCAAATAATGCTTTAAAAAGATCAATCTATTATCTTTTTTGGAATTTTTTTCGGCGGAATTGATGCTTATGCACAAAAAGATCCACATGTATTTGCACCTACCATAATCGACTGTTTTGTGAAAATTTGTCTATAATTTAAAAGTTTACAAATATCTCGAAGCTCCATACCATAATTTAAGTAAAAACACATACATAAGATGCATAAAACTGATTTTCTGCCTGTATTTATACGGGATTGTTAGTTCGAGTACATTTTATACTTGTTAAGAATGTCAGTGTTGTGCATTGCATGGTGTACTATAAAAAATATGGCAATTGATATGTGAGAAATGCCTTCTTTTAGCACTATAGTATGAAATTGGTTGGACCCTTTCGTTTTTCAATATATAAACTAACGTTCACACACACACACCTTAAATTTATGTATGACAAACCCTTGATGACAGACTAATGAATATGGTCAATCTTGAAAATGTATTCGTTCATAATATGTATACATATTTACATTTATATAGATACCCGGTATGTCATTTGTGGTTTTGTTTTCTGTATAGGAAATTTTGTCTTCAATCAATATCTTAGTGTATTATTTACCTTTTAAAATCCGTCTTGTCATCCAATTATTAGAAGTTGAGACTTATAACCTATAACGACAATACGATAGACGAAACATTCATCTATCAAAACATAACTTTCAATCATAGAACGAATAAAAAGATAACGATTTCAAAAGCCCTTCTGACAACATATCATCTCTACAATGACATTTTTTTCTTCACTTTAAAGGGACACTAGCTATGAATTAGACAAAAAAATAAAACATGATTTTTGTTTTGTTTCAAACATTAATAAAACCGAAATATAGAAATAGTAGTTCACTATTATCAGTCAAATTGTTTCAATTTCGCCAAAATAAGATAGAAAAAAACAGCGCTGTATTATTGACTTGCAAGTCAATAATTTAACTCATTTGAATCCGTATGCATGCAACATTTTGATTTTACCTTTATTTGAAATGGTGCGCATGTGTTCATTCATTAAAATGAAAAGAATGTCAACATTGAAAAGTGAAAGAAGGGAGCCATCAAGAAAAAACATTTCGTTGACTGATCTGGCCCACAAAAATAATCATTCTTCTACAGGTAAAACGCTGATTTACACGTATACAATGTATTTTAACCTATAACATGAATTCAAACAGACCTAGAAAAATCCGATTGCACATTCTCGTTATCTATTTCTATTTATGTTTATATCGGGTTATATGACCGTCGGCAGACTTCGGACGTCATCTCGATGGATAATTAGATAGAGTCTGGTCTACAATACGTACGAAATGCTGATACATTATGGAGAGCCCGTGCATTGTTAATTGTTTCTTTTGGACTTTTTGTAATTTTGATATAAGCTTTAGTATGTTCAAAATAAGATATGAGAATTTTGGTCAAATAGGTGAACATGAATTTAACAGCTAATGCCCATTTAAACAAATAAGATAAGATAAGATAATCTTTATTTCAGACTCAAAATGAATTACTTTTTGTTGTTATAGAAATCAAGATTTGTGACAAAATTAACATAAACAGATAGAAAAAAAACAACACAAAACAAGATAAACAGATTATTAAAAAGTAGAAAGCAAACGTCTGTGTATATATACAACATAAATAGATTCAAAGTTTCATTTTTTATATCAAGCAACATATGTAATGTATTACATTATCAAATAATTTGTTTTTGTCTTATTAATGTTTAAAGTCAATCAATATTCACTTATCACCATGGTTTTCTAAATTGTTCAGACTCTTTTTTAGAGTGGCCTTTACACTGACTTTCAGCTAAAATTATCATAGCAGGTCATTAGCAAACTGGAGAGATTTTTTGAAAAGATAAAAGAAAAGTGTGTGGGCAACAGTCTTGATCCATATCTGATATGTAAGATGATGGAAATTGGCTCCTTTACCCAAAATAATCTGATTCTCCTCTTAACAGCGCAAAACGCAGCTGTGAAACACAACTTCTTACATTAAGTCACGAATTACCCAGTAACCTTCATAACGGCATATAAACAGATCTTATAATTTTAGACTTCTCCAAGGCATTTGACAAGGTACCTCACAAAAAAATATTAAGGAAGATGGATAATTATGGCATAAGGGGAAATACCTGGAATTGGGTATCAGCCTTCCTTAATAATAGAACGCAACAGGTTGCCCTAGATGGGGAGGTATCTGGTCAAATGCCTGTGGTCAGTGGGGTGCCTCAAGGCTCAGTCTTGGGTCCTCTTCTTTTCCTGATTTTCATAAATGATCTTCCTGCAACAGTAACATCAAAAACACGCTTGTTTGCAGATGACTGTATGTTATACAGAACAATTAAAAATCAGCAAGGTTGTAACATCCTACAAAATGACCTAGACTGCCTAGCCAAATGGGAACAGACTTGGGGTATGCAATTTCACCCAGAAAAATGCAATTCACTTACTTTAACAAGATCACAGTCACCATACAAACATAACTATATACTTAAAGGCCACATTTTAGAATCCGTCAACACAGCAAAATATCTTGGTATCACCTTATCCAACAACATGTCTTGGGATACTCATATAAACAACATTACAGCTAAAGCAAATAAGATCTTGGGCTTTTTAAAAAGAAACCTAAAAATAAACCAAGAAGAAACAAAAAGTTTGGCTTATAAATCTATGGTACGTTCAAACCTAGAATACTGCTCTTCAGTTTGGTCTCCTAACACCCAAACACAAAAAAAACATCGAAAAAGTACAGAGAAGGGCAGCACGCTACGTCACCAACAGGAACCACAACACCAGTAGTGTCACTTCCATGATTGACCATCTTAAATGGAAGTCACTAGAAGCCCGTAGAAACATCAACCGAGTTACAATGATGTATAAAATCACCTAAAAAGACCCAAACCTTTACCTTTCACCACAGCCATTCAAAAACACCAGATTCACAAATTCACTACAATATCAAACATTCAGCACCAGAACAGATTACTTTAAGTACAGCTTTTTCCCATACACAGTTGTGCTTTGGAATTCACTTCCACAAAACATCATCAGTGTCAACTCTTTGGATCAGTTTAAAATACTGATCCAAAGTCAGTATATTTAAATATCTACCCTGTTTGTATATATATGTAAATGTGTTTATTTTTATTTTTGCACAACTTTGAAATTATTTTTGATTATTGCACTCTTAAAATTGTTATCTTTTAATTAGTGTCTGTTTGCGATGCGCCGACGTATAGTCATCAATGTGCTGATGGATCGTCGTACGATGTAGATGTAGATATAGAACACACCCGCACATGCAATCCACCCGCATGATTTTCAACATGAAATCACACCGACTTTTTTCCGGAACGAAAGTAAACCGATATGTTTCGTAATTTATTGTACTTCCGCAACAAATCTTACAAATGGGTGAAACTGTCAACAGGACTCAAAAAAGTTTACTGTTTATTTTGAGCATTTATATCGCAGTTTTAGGCCGGGTAAAGGGAAATGCACCAGAAATACTTGGGATTATATCCCAGGAACCTGGAAATATACGAGATGATACTGGAACACTGTTGCTTTATCCAAATATCGAACAAAAGTTACTTTTGGTCGGAACGAACTTCTCCGAGGTGGAAAAAGGTCAGACCCAGATAGCATTCACTTTAAGAAGAGATCCAAATGGTAATTGTGATGATTACGACAGAACAAAACCATTTGATTTGATACCAATCGCAGATGGACAGTATGCCTCTGTTACAGTTACTTTGGAACAGATTCCAATTACGAAATTATCATCTGGAAATGTGACCAACAAGTATCTTTACATCTGTTCAAAAAGATCTGGAGGTAACCAACTGGAAAACCATTGGGTACACCAAGGAGATGCCAATGTATTACGAGTAGCTATCGGAGAGAGAGAACCTCCTGAAATTGTCTCTGTAGTTACCGGAGAATCTGATAGCACAATTAATAATGATGGAAGCATTTTACTCTATTCAAATGAACCCCAACACATCATTTTTGTAGGTCAACATTTTGATGAGTTTAAACAGAATGGACAGCTGGCATTCACTACTAAACAGGATGTTAAAGGATCCTGTGGAATCTTTCTTGAAACAAATATTTTTAACGTAACTGTTGAGAGTGATGTACTTGCTTCAGTGTCAGTGTATCTTCAACCTCTGGGTGGAGGACAGCGTTATTACATTTGTTTGAGAAATCCACTGAAATCCTCAGAATGGATCCATCAGGGGTCAAATAAATTTCTTAAAATAGATGTCCGTGTTAGAGAAGAAAAAACAACATTGTTACCCATGTGGATGCAAATTATAATGGTTGCTATTCTGTTAGTTTTTTCAGGTTTATTTAGTGGTTTAAATTTAGGACTGATGGCGTTAGATAAAACAGAATTGAAAATTATTGAACGCTGTGGATCCAAAAATGAAAAGAAATATGCAAAAACAATTTCCCCTGTTCGTAAAAGGGGAAACTTTTTGTTGTGCACACTTCTCCTGGGAAATGTGCTGGTAAATAATTCTCTTACAATTTTATTGGATGATTTAAGTAATGGATTAATTGCTGTTATTGCAGCCACAATGGGAATTGTCATATTTGGAGAAATTATACCACAAGCTGTTTGCTCAAGACATGGATTAGCTGTTGGAGCAAAAACGATATGGATTACTAGGGTTTTCATGGTTCTTACATTTCCACTATCTTTCCCAATCAGTTTACTTTTAGACAAAATTTTAGGAGAAGAAATTGGACATGTGTATGACAGAGAAAAACTTCAAGAATTGATTAAAGTGACCAAAGATTTCAATGAACTAAAGAATGATGAAGTAAATATAATAGCTGGTGCGTTAGAATTGACTAAGAAATCAGTTACAGAAGTCATGACTAAAATTGAAGATGTGTTCATGATAGATATAAACAGTAAACTAGATTTTGATACAATTGCTGAAATTCAAAGGAGAGGTTACACTCGTATTCCAGTATACGAAGGAGATAAGACAAACATTACACATTTGTTAAATATCAAGGATTTGACTTTAATAGACCCTGATGATAAAACTCTACTTAGAACTGTGCTGAAATTCTACCAGCATCCCTTGATATATGTGTTTGATGATCTCAAATTAGATGCTATGCTCTATGAGTTCAGACAAGGTAATAACATATTTAAATTGCACAGATATACCCTATTATTCCAAGAAGCATAAGTTAATTCATTTTTCATGTAATTACAATTTTGCATACATGTATTTCCCAAGCTCCATGTAAGCAAAAACCAGGTATTTACATTTGTATGCAAACATGTTCGATATATTTTGTACATGTATGCATATTCAGAGATGTATGAGTTCAGACAAGGTGGTAATATAATGTATATATGTACTGTTATTGTACATGTATGTGAACAGTATGTACATGATGTAAGGTTAATTTCATAATTGAACTGTTTATCTTTCCTAATCCTTGGTCGGATCAATTTCATTAATTATAAAATGTTGTGTACATGTAGGACAATGAATACATGTGCATTTGTAGATGCACATGCATACATGTATATGTCTTTACTACTATAATGGTCAATTTGGTTAATTTACATGTACAGTCAGTATGTTGTTAGATTTCTGTCTCAATAATTTTACCCCCACCATCCCATATATTTATATTTATAGTATTCATGTACATGCATGTACATATACAATATTAGCTTGGTTGGTCGTTGTACATATGTAACGCTCTCTTTCACACTTTTACAAATTTATTTGCCATTCAAAATTATAGTTTTTGCTTGTTTTACAAATACACATGTACATTGAAGTTAGAACATATGCTTGTAAATAATATATGCAAATTGTTTCAAACATCGTCATGATAGTTACATACAATGTACATATATACAGAAAAATGGCATTGTGCTGAAATTTCCCAATAAGCATGATAAGCAGATAAGTTGTCATTGGAGAAGTTGAGATGGAAAATCACTATTGATTCATATTAATGAGCTGGGATAAACTACACTCTTAATTGCGAAATGATGTGACACAGCAGTACTGCCGGTAGTTTAGTATATATTTTATTTATTTCCCTATAAAAATAAGGAAATGTGGTATGATGGCCAATGCATTCTGTTCTTGTTATTGATAAATTTATAAACATTCTTCATTAGAGACCAGTTACACAATGTAGTGTTTTTATCAATGTATAAATAAGATGTGTTTACATAATATATAAATAAATAATATCTGTCTTATCTCCTGTTAGTCTGACCTGCTATATTTGATCTGTACTTAATTACCTGTCAATAATAACATACATGGCAGTATACATGTACATGTATCATGTTTTCAGTCTGCAATAAAAATGTTTTGATAGACTGTCCAGATATGACAGTTCTTCGCTCTCTGATGTTAAATTTTGAATATTAAAACAGGTCTTTATATAATTAAGTCTCATGTTTTTGAAGTTGAAAAGTGCTAAAATGCAGAAATATCTTTCAAATGAAGCAGTAGTGGTAAAACCATCCCACACTGTTTCTGCACCTACATTGTACATGTACAATATGCATGTATAAACAATCGCTAAAACAAGAATTATAAAGAACAAAATTGAATAGACCATATATAAACATAGGGTATATGTTTGTGTGAAACGTTAACTTGTTCCAACAAAAAAACTGAAAAAAGGCAAATTCTGGACGTATCTGAAATGCCATTATGGTGTTTTTGTTTCTGCTTGTTTTTTTTTTTCATTTTATTTTGTTTTTTTTATTGTGGGAGGGGAGGGAGGGATGGAGATGGCTTTAGCATACAAAAATAATTTAATCATGGCATCTCACTAATACAGAAACTCTTTAAGGTTTCTGTTTGAAAAAATGCATGTTAACACATTCAAAACATTTTTAATACTGTATGTTGACCTCTGACATGTCTGATATCCTTTGTTTTTTAGTTTTTTTGTTTGCTTGCCTTATTGACATATGCATACATACATGTACATGTATATACCCCACCTTTCATGTGCATTGCATGTACATCTACGTAAGTTTAATTTGTTTGCATATAAATATATATTCATACATCATAACATGTATGCATGTTCCAAAAATTCTGATCACATGTATATTGTATGACCTTATGCATGTTTGACATGCTATTATTTCATTTGTTGCTTTTGGCGACAGTTTTCTAAATAATTTACCTGAATATATATCATGTATATAGGGACAAACAAAATATATATGTACATGTACCAGGTATATTGATACAAAAATGTAATTGTCAGTGAAAAAAATCTGTTAACAGGTCTGAGTTGTCATATGATGACCTTACATAAAATGATTGACAGACAAAACAAGGCCTTGAGCATGAATGCATAATGTTCACACCACCTTATTTACATGTTACATAGCAGTTACAATATATTTGTAAGGCCACTTTAGTGTCCATACATGTACTTATGACAAGGACAAGGTTCCAGTATTATAGTATATTATGTCATGTGTACATGTATATAGAATTTTTGATATGATATCTAGTAAAGTCCATTTACATGTAAATTGATATTAGTGATTGAAAGATGTATTAGGAAACTAGGAAAATCATGAAATGCAACCAAAAGAGTTGCGTGAATAGACTCTTTTCATATTACTGACTTTTGACTCTAGAGTTTAATTTTTTCTACAGGTTTGGTTACCTTCTCTGTGGTAGGACATCCTGGTACTCGGTCAAGTAAGAGCAACATAAAAAAGTAAAATCAAGCTTACAATCGGTACAATTTCGGGGGAAAATTAACTGTTTTTTATACCAACAAAGTCATCGGAAAACAGTAAACTTTCCCCCCAAAATGATCAGATTATATGTTTTATTTTACTTCTTATGGTTGCTCCTACCTGCCACCAGGATGTCCTACCATAGATTATGTAACTTGTCAACAAATTATGAAATCACGAGTCAAAAGTTGGTATTATGAAAATAGTCTATTGGAAATGGAAATGAATAAAAGCAAATATAGAATAGACTTTTTGAAATTTTAGGATAAACCTTAGTAATTGTGTATACTTCAACAAAACAGACCTTAATAATAAAAATGGGGTCAGTCAGTTTCAGTATTACAACAACTCAAGAGTAAAAGGGCATTATGTAACATGAAATATATTTCATACTCATTTTGTAGGTCATTCTCATTTGGCTGTGATCCGTAGAGTGAACAGTGAAGGTGAAGGTGACCCATATTACGAGACCCTTGGAGTTCTGACTCTGGAAGATGTTATTGAGGAGATCATACAGTCAGAAATCATCGACGAGACTGATACACTAAGTATGATATTAATCGATACAATCAATCATAAAGAATTCTCCAATTAATCCATCTCTTATATATACATGTACAATATACATATATCATCTTTTTACAATGTTTTATATGGATGGTTATCAGTCATTTTGTCTTTTGAGAAGATTGGTTAGGGAGATAATTACTTAGGAACTGAAAAGTGGGAGTACATGCAGGTCTACAGGATTCTGTAGTGAAATTTAAATTGCATAGAAATGGCAGTGAGGTGTGAGGGATGTCATCACAAATCCATACAACCCAGGCCCTCTCATTTGAATAAAAGAACAAAATATACTTTATATTGTGTAGACAGAGTACTTTCAGCATACTATTAAAGCAACAATTGGGCTGTAGTCACTGAACATTTTTTTTTATTACAATAAATATGTTTCCATCATAAATTTAGATAACAGTCCACTTGCAGCTCCCATATACCTGAAAGAGACACAACATAAACAAAATTGTGTACAAGATAAGGAAAGATTCTTGCAAGACCATTCTTATTGCTCCAGTTTGACCAAGACAAGCTTGTCTTTCACGCAACTGCTTCATCTTCCCTTGAGATAGGACCTGTTGTCTCAGAGAGAGGCAATTCAAGGGAAAGAAGCTTTACAAGGAACTGTTAATACTTATATAGTTGTGCATATACAATTCAATGACTGACATTCAAGCAGACTTCATTTTTTTGGTGTGAGTCTTTGTCTGTGATTGTATAACTGTAAATTCAGAAATTATTACGAGGTTTCCATTAATGCAATTTATGTGACTGGGTGAGTATCGCAATAATAAGAACCCGCATTGTGATAACTGAAACATAGATCTCTATGCAGATTTTGTCAAAATTTCAATAATTAAACTCGCATTTTTGTCCATTCTTGAAAAATTGCAATAAAAAATGTATGCAATAATTTCTGAATTTACAGTATATGGCTTAACAATGAATGACTACTAATACTATAGATGGTCATTTTAAAGGTCATTTTTTCTTGTTAAATAAAAACAAGAAACAAGAGAACTAATTAACACAGTAAATGCTCATTTATTTTTGATGAAAATTAGAAACACATATGTCACTTTAATAATACACATGCAATAGTAAATACAATTCTCAAATGTCAGATTAAGTTTCTATAAGTTATGAAAAAATGGCAATCAGTGAAATTTATGAGTATTAACTAAATCTTACAAAACAGGAAAACTACACTTCAAATAAATTTGTATAAATAGATAATGATGATTAATATTCATATGACCAGTTCTTTTTTGAATGGAGTCTATATACATGTATCTGTGTTTTGCACAGTGTAATCTATTAATAAAGGATAAGATTTTATTGTAATATTAAACAAGAAAAATAAGCAAACAAGTTTGCCTTTTAAGAGGGATGGAAACTAGAAATTTATTCCTTATGATTCAGTGTTTCTTATGTAATAGTGATGAGTTTAAATTTGTTCTTCTATTCAAATTTTCTGAATGTATATATAATCTGTATTTGGTAGTTTTATCTTTTTTAAAAGTGTTTCATGAAGAGTCAGTTTCAGCATAATGTTGATACATGCCCTTTTTGGCTGATCCACATGTACTATTTTATTTTATACCAATTAAAATCAGGCAGTGAAATTCCGCTATTTTTGTTATTATATAAGATTTTGCAAGCTAATTTAAGAATTCATGAGTTTAACTGCACACATTTTTACATTATGCTCTCAGAGATTAATTTCATACATTGAACGTGACATCTTTGACTATAATTATTGCACTCATGGCAATCTTTTCAGGAAACATATTATATAATACATTGATGTTAAGATATTGTGAAATCTGAGTTAAATGTGCATTATGAATCAAGTATTGGAAAGTAATAAACATTATCAGAAATTTAAAATAAAAATTGGCAAAATGGATTTCTGCGGAATTAAGAGTACAAATATAAACACTTTAACTCTATTAACCATGTTAACTGTATAGCCTAGTTCGGTTAAATTCAGTGTCTTAAATATGGAAATCCCTACATAGATTGATAGAGAGACAGGTAGTCATTCCATTAGTGGAAAAGCTGCTTAATTGCAAAATATCATTGAGAATGACTTCCGTGAATTTCAATTAATTTCAATGTGATAAATATTTAAAATTTCAAGGTCAGATCTAATTTAGCATTCTTGCATTGATATTGGATGGTTTGTTAAAGTTTGTTGAAATAAAAGATAGATGGTCCCACTGAAAATTACAGCAGGTTTTTTTTCCAGACAAGGCTCGCTCTTGAAAAATGAGAATTAATGAGTACAAACACTTATAAGATATATAGATGTATTGATTTATGTGGTGTTATTAACTTTTTATTAGCCGAGATACAGCAGTAGTATGTATTGATTAAATATTGTTTGTAGTCTCACTACCATAAAGATACAGGGTGGTACCTATCGATTACCTATACTTTATAGGGAGGTTCTCTATTGATTATCTGGTATTCTATTATCTCAACAATTCAATTAAATCGGGAAATTGTTTCATACATTTATGCAGCAGAAGAATTAGATCTAAAATCTATGTCCTGTTTTGTCTGTAGGAATTGAAGTTTGGAATTTCCAAATTTAAACATTAATGATCAAACTGTTTGAAATGCTGTGCTAATATACCATATAAATACTTTTTCATTTTTTGTTAGTTCTCATTACCCCAAAAATGTTCAAATGCATTTACATTATGTCTTATACTGCCCATATTCATGTACATTAGTGTAGCTTTAATTGAAAACATGTACATGTACATGATGAATAAATTTAGTGCCTATTGATTGATTAGCGGAAGGCCTATAGTAATCAGCTTGTATGTCTGTCCGTCACAAATCCTCTTTGCTCTCTAACTTTAAACCTCTTGGAGTTTAGTAATGAAACTTGACATTACAATGCATTATTCACCACTACTAGAATGTGTGTAAGGTACACATAACCTACTGTACAATGAAGGTCTGGGTAAAAATCTAAGTTCAACTGAGGCTCCTGTATATGTGATATGTAGATTTAACATTGTTTCTATCTGTAAATTGCTGCCTTCCATTGGCCTAAGCTATGTTTAAATCAAAAAGCCCATCACAGTTACTTTCAATTCATAGAACATTTCATACAGCAATGTCATAAACAGTACAGAAGACAGGATCTTGAGCAATGCCCAGTATTGTACAAAATTTCAATGCAGAAAAACAAAAACAATTTTCAGCTTACCAGACCCAATGGGTCAGCTTTTCTCATCACTTGGAAGATGTCGCCCATTATTGTTGGCAGTTAACATTTACATATTAAATCTTCTCCTCTAAAACTACCAGTTTTAAATTGTGTCTGATGATCCAGTCTGCCAACCAGCATGGCCAACATGACTAAAAATAGAACATAGGGGTAAAATGCAAGTTTTATTATATGGGTCAAGATGTGGAATTCATTTCCCACAGGCAACAATGATAGCCTTTTCTTCCATTCCTCTGTCCATATCTTAAACTTGGATATGTATGATGGCTCCTTTCAAAGCTGAGACATTTCCACACACATGCATGTGGTTAAATTTTCGGGGAACGAAGTGAGATTGATTTTTTCACAAATTGGGCAACCTAGAAAGGCCCCACGTGATACGGCTTCAGCAAGTGAATGGTCCTTGTTTTCACACAGTTAAATTCTCTAAAAATTCAGTTCTGTACAAATTTAATAACTCCAAAGTTTTTACATCTTTATTGTATGTACAGGTTCAATAAAGCACAAATGGTTAAGCTCAGTCAATTACTAAAAATAGCATCATGTCCAATGTCATTGCATACAGGTTTTTATATGCCTGTTTACAGGACGTATTATTGTATACCGTCGTATGTCCTTCTGTCCTTCCGTCGTCAACATGTCGGATAATAACTCAAAACCGCTTTAACCAATTTTCATGAAACTTTGTTGCATTGTTTATATCTATTAATGTAAGCTCCCTTTCGATTTTTATAAATTTTAGATTTTACGTTTCTGAGTTATGGGATTTTATTCATAAAAAAGGGGGGATTTTCCAGTTTTCGGACAATAAGTCAAAAATGCTTTAAGCAGTTTTGGTGAAACTTTGGTGACTAGTTTATATCTATTAAAATAAGCTCCCTTTAGTTTTTTATAAATTTTTGATATGACATTGTGGCGTTATGGAATTTGTTGAAAAAGTGATGGTGTATCATGCGCTCATGGCGCAGCTCTTTATTTTATTTCTATTTATAGTTGAGTACCTCACTCTGAGGCGCATTAGAGATATTGACCCATCTTGAAAACTGCTATAGATGGCTAAAACTGACAGTGGCAGAAAAAGTCAGAATATTTAGATCTAACCTATTGTCCATGAAAACGAAAAACTGTCAGACAACTTCTTTTCGCATCACTTGGTGTCCTCTGTTAACTTTTACAAAAATCTTCTCCTCTGAAACTAATGGGCCAAATTTAACCAAACTTGGCCACAACCATCATTGGGGTATCTAGTTTAAAAATGTGTCTGATGACCTTGCCTGCCAAGCAAGAGTAAAATGCAAGTTTTGCCCATTATTTTGAAAACTGCTATAAATAGAGAAAATCTGACAGGAGCAAAAATGTTGTGCATTGTCCATTAAAGTAAAAACTGTCAGACGACTTCTTTTAGGAGTTATTGCCCTTAAATGACAAATTTTACCATTTTTTTAAATTTTTTGACTATTATCTCGAAAAGTATGATAGATAGATAGCTTTAAAGAGGAAAATTAAAAGCAGGATAAGATCTACAAATATGTCAACATGACTGAAATAATAGTCAGTTATCTCTTAATAGAGTTATTCCTCTTTATTGCTGATTTTTTTTACTACAAAGCTACACAGGCTCTTTAGTCAAATATGGTCTAAATCTTCAGTTGTCTCTTTATGAGAGTTATTGACCTAAAATAATGATTTTTGCCAAATTTTGTTTTTTTTCCCTATAATCTTGAAACTAATAGGTAGAGAGAAACTTTTATTGCAAAAATGATTAGCAAAACAAGATCTACAATTAAGTCAACATGGCCACATTCTTTAATAGACTTTTTTTAATTATTGCCCTAAAATGATGATTTTACCATTTTTTATACGCCAGTCAATTTTTGACAGGATGTATTATGGTATACAAATGTCCGGTGTCCGTCTGTCCGTCCGTCTGTCTGTCCGGCGTAAACATGTCGCACCGTAACATCAGAACGACTTATCCAAATTTCATGAAACTTTAAATAGTTGTTTCTTATGATGGTCAAACAATCTGTATACTTTTTGGTGAAAATAAGATTACAACTTTTTCAGTTACGGGACTTTGTAACTAAAACAGGGGTGTGTTTTTTTTCACATGTCGCGACCGTATCTCAAAAACAGTTTATGATTATTGCTTAAAACTTTACACATTTCTTAGTTATATTAATCTTAAGATCTGTATACTTTTTGGTGATGATTCAAAATTTTATTTTTGAGTTATTGAGTATTTTGTAAAAAAAAAAGGGGGAGGGGTTTTTCACAGGTCGCGCCGTATCTCAAAAACGATTTATGATTATTGCTTAAAATTTTACACACTTCTTAGTTATATTAATCTAAATATCTGTATACTTTTTGGTTTTGATTCAAAATTTTATTTTAGAGATATTGAGTTTTTTGTAAAAAAAAAAAATGGGCTTTTCGCATGTCAGGCCGTATGTCAGAAACTATTTTTGCTTATTGCATAAAAATTCACACACAAGACGACGGGTGTATCATGCGCTCATGGCGCAGCTGTTTATTTTAAATTTTGGAACATGGAACATAATATTTGACAATAATTTGATTCAATTATATTTTACTGATTCAGTGATTGATATCCCAAATAACTTATAACAACATAACATTATGTAATAAAAAGACTTTAACTCTATAGAAATGTTCTTTAAATCTAAAATATTAAGCTGGACAAATTTCAATTAGGTAAGTCATTTAACCAATACAAAATGATTTTTTTTTTCAAAAGCACATTGATTCTACATTGAATTTAAGATCAGTATCTTGTGATAAAAAAATCAAAAATCAAATTTCACCCAATTAAATATCATGTTTAAAGTATTTATTTTGAAAACTATAATAGATAGATAGAATTTTTTTCAGTCTTTAAAAAGCAAAAATGGTCAGCAAGAAAAGATCTGCAATTAAGGCAGCATGTCCAAAATTGTCAGTCTACTCAATTTTTTTGTGATTTTTCTATAATCTTAAAAATTGTAATAGATATATATAGATTCTACCACTGCATCGAGTGTGATACGATATTTATCCACTCGAGACAGTTAAATTTTCAAATTTAAAACGCGAGGCTCGCCGAGCGTTTTAAATGTTTAAAATTTAACTGTCGAGAGTGGATAAATATCGTATTACACGAGATTTGGTGGTGGAATCTGTTTCTCTAATGATTTTCAAACAATATGCAGGCAAACTTATTCCTTCTTTTTGAATGATCTGCAAAAAGATGTGTTCTTTCTGTGTGATGTCATCAGGCATGGTCGCCTTTTTTCATGCCGTCACAAAAGGAAATTCAGAGGAAAGCAAGAAAATTCGACGTCATAATCGGATTTTATCCAATGAAGAACTGAGATCAAACGAACCACACGTTGATTAAATTTTTTTATACAATGGGTGCAGAAAGGGATAAATTGACGAAGAATTAGAGAAATATATATATCTAATATGCATAAACTGTAAACAGCTATAATGATCAGCAAGACAACATCAACAAAAAAGAGATTGTAATCATGAATTATAGTCTAGTCTTTAATTTTGAGAATGCACATAGATCCATGTGAGTGAAACAGGCTCTTTAGAGCCTTTTGTTTTAAGATAGGTGCAGCTTTTAAATAAACCGCTTGTACACATTTGGACTTAATATAGCACTCTTTTATGTCCTTCCCCCCCCCCCCCCCCCCCCCCAAAAAAAAAAATCAAGAGATTTTGATAGATACAGGTTCTATGGATTCTGGTTATGATTTTTAATATTATAATAAGGCATTAGTTGTTTAATTAACTCTTAATTATGTATGTGTTTTTGCAAACTTTAAAAAAAAGATTTTTTACTGCCTTGCTATTGTACAAATGTGAAAAAAAAATTTGGCAGAGTTTTTACTATTCAGCAAAATTTTTAAGAGAGTTATTTAGTTTATAAGAAAAAAGAATGAAAATTTATAGATATTTAATTTAACTCCATACTCCAAAAATGCAAATGTTAAATACACATGTAACATTTGAAAATGGATATTAAAACATTAGTATGTTATGTTAGATTTAATAAAGTGTTCTAATTTACATATGATCATTTGTATTTTTTTAATGTTGAATATTCCGCGTCATATTTATGTAGGTCTTTGTAATAAATTAATATTCAGACAAGATGATATATGTTTATTTCATGTCATTATTATGAATCATATTAATGGCCATCATAAATGTCCAGTATTTTGAAGGCCATGTCAGTTATATTCACATTAAAGAATAGATTAAAAAATTGTCAGACATTTGATTTGTATATGATAAAGGTTTAACAGTATATTTGCTCACATAAAAGATAGTTTCATGCATTATCATGAAACTAATTACTTAATATGGATAACAGAAATTTAAATGATTTTTTTTTTAATATCAAACTGTGGTACTTGATTTATCAATGAGTTAATTAGATTGAATTGTCCTTAATAGACTGGTTGACCTTATTAAACTGAATTGACCTTAATAGACTGAATTGACCTTAATAGACTGAATTGACATTAACAGACTGAATTAACATTAACAGACTGAATTGAATTGACCTTAACAGACTGAATTGACCTTAATAGACGGAATTGACCTTAACAGACTGAATTGACCTTAATAGACTGAATTGACCTTAACAGACTGAATTGAATTGACCTTAACCGACTGAATTGACCTTAACAGACTGAACTGATCTAAATAGACTGAACTGATCTAAATAGACTGAATTGACCTTATCAGACTGAATTGACCTTAACAGACTGAATTGACCTTAAAAGACTGAATTGATCTTAACAGACTTTATTGATCTTGGTATAGGTCCTTTTTTATTGTATCAATATCAGCTTTATTTTGCCCTTAAGTCTTTATCTGATGAAAGTTAGCATATAAGGGAGTTATGTGCCCTTGAATTGGTAGCATACTGGCTCAAGACCACAATTAGTGACCCTGCTTTTCGTTGTCCACGAATATATAGTTCCTTTTAGTAAGAGTGTATTTTTTCTTAATTTTTTTTCTTTCCCTTCCTCACTCATTTCTTAGTTTTTTTGGGGTGGAAATGAAAGAATAGAGGTGAAATAAACTTTTGGATGTTGTATTTTAACTGACTTTGATATGGAAAGAGTGATTAGGCCAGGTGCACAAATAGGTCATATTTACAGTTTTCGGAACATCTCTTGACTTGTCCATAGGGGTATGGATGTGTTTTGGCTAAATTTGTAAGAGTGATTGGAACAATCTTTCTGAATGTTGGATATATTTTTGGACTAGTACTGTACTTTACACACACAAAATATTGGACAAAAATGATTGGTGCATTTTTTTTAATGAGACAAAACGTTATAAAGAACTAATAGAGGAATTTAATTGTGGTCAGTGGCCTAAGATTTATAATATTTTGAAGCAGGCATTTATTTATGACAGGTTTTAAGTTAACAATTTATTTTGTTTATTTTAGCTGATAATAGACAGAAGAAGCAGAGAAGAATTGAAAAACAGGATTTTAGTATGTTTACCAACCCTGAGGACAGTCATAAACCTTGGATATCATCTCATCTGGCTATGGCTGCATATCAATTCTTGTCTACATGTAAGGTTTTATACTTAGTACAATTGAATTTAAGTTTTTATAGCTCAAAAGAAATATGAGGCAAATATTAATGGACAGCAACCCCTCAACACAAAACAATCAAGAAAAAATATCCTTTTCATCCAGGCCATATCCTTTTTGTCAAGCCTTCGACTTTTGTCGAAAAAGCGAGAAATAGCGATCCTACATTCCGTCGGCGGAGGCGGCGTCCACAAATATTCACTCTGTGGTTAAAGTTTTTGAAATTTGAATAACTTTCTTAAACCATCCTGGATTTCTACCAAACTTGGACAGAAGCTTGTTTATGATCATAAGATAGTATCCAGAAGTAAATTTAAAAAAAAAAAATCCTGTTTTTCGGTATTTTACTTATAAATGGACTTTCTGTCAGTTAACATTACATTCACTCTGTGGTTAAAGTTTTTAAAATTTTAACAACTTTCTTAAACTATCTTGAATTTGTACCAAACTTGGACAGAAGCTTGTTTATGATTAAAAGCTAGTATCTAGAAGGAAATTTTGATAAAATTTTGTTCCATTTTTTACTTATTTTACTTATAAATGGACTTAGTTTTTCTTCCAGTTAACATTACATACAGTCTGCAGTTTAAGTTTTTAAAACATTTATTAGATTCATAAACTATCCTGGATTTTTACCAAACTTGGACAGAAGCTACTTACAATCAAAAGATACTATAGAGAGGAATATTTAATATTAATTTTTTCCCTCATTTTTGTTGAGCCTGCGATTAACAGCAAAAGTAGGCGAGACACTGGGTTCCGCAGAACCCTTACAAATTTTTGTCGAGCCTTCAACTTTTGTAAAAAAAGCGAGACATAGAGATCCTACATTCCGTCGGCGGCGTCCACAAATATTCACTCTGTGGTTAAAGTTTTTAAAATTTTAATAATTTTCTTAAACTATCCTGGATTTCTACCAAACTTGGACAGAAGCTTGTTTATGATCATAAGATAGTATCCAGAAGTAAATTTTGTAAAAAAAAAATTCCTGTTTTTCCGTATTTTACTTATAAATGGACTTAGTTTTTCTGCCAGGAAACATTACATTCACTCTGTGGTTAAAGTTTTTGAAATTTTAATAACTTTCTTAAACTATCCTGGATTTGTACCAAACATGGACAGAAGTTTGTTTATGATCAAAAGCTAGTATCTAGAAGGAAATTTTTATTAAAATTTTGTACTTGTTTATCCATATTTTACTTATAAATGGACTTAATTTTTATTCCAGTTAACATTACATACAGTCTGCAGTTAAATTTTTTAAAACATTTATTAGATTCATAAACTATCCAGGATTTTTACCAAACTTGGACAGAAGCTTCTTACAATCAAAAAATTGTATCGAGAGGAATATTTGTATTAAATTTTTTCCTCATCTCATTTTTGTTGAGCCTGCGATTAACAACAAAAGTAGGCGAGACACTGGGTTCCGCGGAACCCTTATGAATTTTTCTATTTAGCAATCTGTATTTAGCCATCAAGATTTTTAATTTGTCAACAACTGTGTCATATACTTCTTACATGCAAAGCATGTTCTGAACTTCACAAAAAATTATGAAATTTGAAAGGACACAAAAAAATTGGTATGTGGCATTGTAAACAACAGTTTTTTTCTGTTATAAATACCATTCTGACAAGATAAAACCAAATAAAAAAGAAAAAAAAAAGGGCAATTAAATAATTAAAAAATAGGTTAACAGCATTTTGTATTACAGTACATGCAGTCATTTGACAAATCACATGTTATAGATACATAATTGCAGTTGTAAAACCTTCATTTCTTTATACTGTTTATCATGTTTTACACATTATGACTTTCATTACTTGACATTTTGCCTTTTTTTTAATATTTATTTACATATTTAACTGATTTGTGAACTAAACATCATGGTGAAATTGACTTTTGAAATGTATTTGTAGCTGTGGACTTGTTCAAGGAAGAGTACATATCACCAAACGTTCTGAAGAGGCTGATCAAACAGAATATTTATGAAGAAGTTATTAACAACGAAAAGAAAGAATGTCAAATTTATAAAGAGAATACTCCTTGTGATTTCTTTGTTTTAATCTTGGAAGGTACTAAATCTTTTTCAAGTTCAAACTAGACAAATGAATTTATAAAAAGAAAACTCCAATGTGATTTTTTATGCCCCCACCGTATCAGAGGGGGCATTAAGTTTTACCCTTGTCCGTCCGTACAAACGTCCCAAAGTTGGTTTCCATTCTCTAACTTTAGTTTGCCTCAGCCAAATGTTATGAAACTTATACACAATACTTATTACCACTAAATACAGATCAATCTTGAATTTTGATGGTGTCACTTTAACCGTTCTAGAGTTATGCTCCTTTACAAATGGAAAAATTGCTGAATTTTTTGTTCCCGTTCTCTAACTTAAGTTTGCCTCAACCAAATGTTATGAAACTTATACACAATGCTTATTACCAAAAAATATAGATCAAGTTTGAATTTTGGTGGCATCACTTTTACCGTTCTAGAGTTATGCCCCTTTACAAATGGAAAAATTGCAGAATTTTCGTTTCCGTTCTTTAACTAAAGTTTGCCTTAACCAAATGTTATGAAACTTATACATAATGCTTATTACCACAAAACTCAGATTAAGTACAAATTTGGGTAGCATCACTTTTACCATTCTGATATATCCCTTTATAACTTTATATGCAAGCGGGGCATCATCTGTGTCCCATGGACACATTCCCCATTTATTCTTTTATTAATTCTTCTTCTTATCTTCTCACCATGCCATACTAAGTATTTTTTAAGGTCATACTAGACGAACAAATTTATAAAGATAATACTCCCTGTAAATACTCTTCTGCCATATACATAGGAATAGGTATTAAAAATGGCTTGCTGATTTTCACATTTATAATACTCCAAAACTTAGTCAGACCTAAACAATAATATTTTTAATCTTGAGTACTGCTACTAAATATGATGTATTTACTGGTTCTTTCAGAGACCAGAATGATCTGAAAACATACTTATTTTTCGTGACCTGGTTATTTTTTGCTTAATAAAACAATCACATAAAATGCACAATAATATTCTGTGTGCGAAAAGTTGATTGAAATTAACAATATTTATGGTCCGAATCGTTTAGGAATTAGGGGCCCAAAAGGGGCCCAAAACAAGCCTTTTTCTAGTTTCAGGATAATAACTTGTGTATAAGTATTTCGATTGCTCTGAAACTACTCTGTCACACAACCTGAATTTTTTTGTACAGAGTTTTATCTGATGACCAGCATACCAATCTTTATAAATAAGATATAGGGATATCACTGGATTATTCACCATTTTTATGCCTCACCTGATATAGTAGAGCATTGTGTTTTCCGTCTTTGCGTCTGTCCGTCTGTTAGTCCATCTTGCATCAGTTCAATACCACAAAAGGAAGGTTGGGATTGATTCTGGGGATGATGGTCCGAACCGTTTAGGAATTAGGCACCCAAAAGGGGCCCAAAACAAGCATTTTTCTAGTTTCAGGATAATAACTTGTGTATAAGTATTTCGATTGCTCTGAAATTGTACGACAATGTTTAATACCACAAGTAGAAGGTTGGGATTTATTTAAGGGGTTATTGGGCCAACAGTTTAGGAATTAAGGGCCTAAAAGGGGCCAAAAACAAGCATTTTTCTAGTTTCCAGACAATAACTTGTGTTTAAGTGTATGGGTCTCTCTGAAATTGTACTACAAGGTTTCATACTACAAAGGAAAGGCTGGGATCGAGTTTTGGGGTTATTGCTCCAAGGGGGTTTCAATAATTTTGTAATGGAATACAAATAAAATGCTTCGCTGAGCGCAGCCTGATACGACCGCAGAGGTCGAACCCTGAACAGTTTGGGCAAATTTGGACACAATATTGAGGCTTGATACTGTCTGAATTTGGATTGTGATCAAATTTTTGACATAATATAGATTTCTGACTCAGAAATCTATATTATGTCAAAAATTTGATCACAATCCAAATTCAGACAGTATCAAGCTTGAATATTGTGTTCAAATTTGTACCAACTGTTCAGGGTTCGACCTCTGCAGTCGTATCAGGCTGCGCTCAGCGAAGCATTTTATTGTATAATATATGAACAGTAGTTATGGTTATTATTTACTAATTAAACTTAATTAAAATGTTTTCTGTGTATTTTTTTAGGACATGGTCATGTATCCATTGGAAAAGAAAAGCTTGAATTTGATGGTGGACCTTTTACATATTATGGTGTTCAGGCTCTTGGTTAGTATTAGTCAAGCAACTTTTTTTTAATGATTAAGAACTTAGTTTTAAGTAACTATAGGTAAATAAAGGTGTTAATTCAAAAATATTGACATAACTTTTTAACCATTATTTGTTTTTAGCCGACCTTATCCAAACGGCAACTTTCTATGTATCCAACTCTCTAAACTTAAAATTAAAATCAATACCTCTGAAACTACTCTGTCATACAACCTGAATTTTTTTGTACAGAATTTTATCTGATGACCAGCATACCAATCATTATAAATAAGATATAGGGACTGGATTATTCACCATTTTTAGTCCTCACCTGATATAGTAGAGCAATGAGTTTTCCGTCTTTGCGTCTGTCCGTCTGTTAGTCCATCGTGCATCAGGTTAAATTTTAGTTTAAGGTATTTTAAAGTTTTGGTTTAGGGTAGTTTATTGTCACGTCAACTTAAAAGTTAGTACACATGTTCATTATAAAGGGAACTGTTCAATAAATACCAAATTAGGGTTTTAACCTAGATTTCTTAGTCACAACAATCTGTGTGCTCATGAGAAGCACATAAATTGGTAAATGCCTTATGTGGCTCATTTATGCTTTCAGGTGGATGAAAATATTGTATAACAAAATATGTAAATTCTTTTTTAGAGGTGAATGAGTCTAGTTTGGCACCTCAGCATAGTACAGATAGTATTTACCTAAAGGGTGATGTGTACATTCCTGACTTTTCTCTGAAAGCGACTTCCACAATCATCTTCTTAAAGATAAGGCGTGCTCATTATATAGCATCAAGGAAGGTCACTTTGATTGGTAAAACCACAGTCAGAGAGGAGGAAGAGAACGAAGCATACGATCGTGAAATGCAGAAAGCTAGCTGGTTGTCTAACGCATCTAATAATAGTGATTTAATTCTTGTTGATAAGAAAGGCTTGGCACAGGTTGGTAGAACTTCTAGTCAACCCTCACTTCCGAATAAAGTCAGGAGTGAAAGTACGTTATCGGGAAGAAGTACAAATTCAGAAAAACCAGAGGAACCAAAACCAACACGTCTAAATGAAAATTATGTGTATCAAAATTCTCCGACAAAAGAAAACGGCATGGTTGATCAAGGAGATGGTGACAAAAAGGAGGACTTAATTTGTGATGCTGAGGAATTGACTCCCATGATTTCTTATGAAGATCAGAATGTGAAAGATAATGTACCATTAACTAGTATTTGAAACCATTTTGTAAAATATCAAATAGGTCTGAAACTAAGTCACACAAACAGGAAAAGCTGTCTTGATGGTTTATGATTGTAAATATCACCATTGAAGATAAACTAAGTGTTTTTTGTAAATATTAATGTAGTCTTGTTCAGGAAAGAATTCAAAATTAAATAATTTTTTGTAAGATTATTTTGGAATAAGTTGAAAATTAAAGTTATACAATATATTTGTTAATGTTAAAGTTTGTAAGTACCTGTACCATTTAACATGCTTAAACAAAGTTTATATGAAAAATTATCACAAACTTTTTAGATCATTCCATGATTTATTTTAAAGTGTACAAATGCTAAAGCTTATGTCATAATAAATTAATTTCCTACTTTAAAAATCAAATTATGTGGAATCTATAGAAGTCATAACAACATCTACAGAAGTCACTAATGCAGTGTTTGTGCTGTCCGATATTTTGAACTTTTTCTGTTCTTTATATATATAGACTGTCTTTGGTTGACCTTAAGCCAGCGGCGTAGGGTCGTGCAGCCACTATGTCGCCTTTACCAACTGACTGGGAGATCGGACAGGTAGCAGCGGGCCCGCATTCTACTACTTAAAATTGATAGTTTTGTAAGAATTACTTACAGATTACTTTATTTTTAATCTAAAATTAATATTTCAGTTTGTTTGACTTATTAACAGACCAGTTGTTATAAATCAAAGGTCTCATTTGTTGCTTAGCTTAGGATTTTATAGTTAGGAAACTAAGTATTATTAATTTTATGACAGCTAATACTAGATAAGCATTGTTCTTAATTGTCTCCAAATGTGACAAGTTTCCAGTAACACTTGAAATTGAATATAATTTTTTTTTCACTAACAAATTATGAAATTTTCATCAAGAGGCATTCTTAAGCAGTTCATCTGTATAACTATTTTTACTTCCTGTTTGCATGTGAACCCTTTTTAGGTAGAAGAATATCTTTGTTTATTGTCTTCCATTTTGCTAATGACAAATTGTCGTACAAAGACAAAAGAAAATAGTACAATAATTAAAAAAATGTTACTGGAGTCTAAAGGACAGTGTTTATTTGGTAATGCTATTTGGAAAATGAGAAAGAGGAAAATTTCATTTTTTTTTTAGATTGAAAAAAAATTGCATTAAAATTTTGAATAACTGTTGTATAGAGTTTTACTACCAACTAACATTATATATTTGATGCATGCTTATTCCCATCTCTGTACATTCATGTACAACATTTGGTCAAGGACCTGTTATAATAATTAACAACCTTGCATTTTACACATTTTACAAATTCATTGTGTAAAAACAGCAAAATTCTGTTAACTTCAGACAAACATTTTTCTTTCATTTGTAAAAGTTCGGTTTTGCTTTACTCAATAATGACAAGGGAAAGTTCAGTTTTCAGGGATTTTTAACACATGATGGGGAGATAAGTGTGTGGATCAGGATGTCATTGCTTTATGATGTCCTTGATATTGGAAAAGTAACAGTTTTAGAAAAAAGCAATACCTTAACTTGTTTTACGATGGAAATTTTGTTTTAAGGCTTTTAAAATAGGTCAATAAAGAAGGAGGTTTGATTAGGCCCAAACAGGGCCAAACATAGTTTAATCAATTATAGATAGAAAGTATGTTTATTTTTTAAAATTTGCATATCAGGGTTCTTTGATGACGTCACATTTTCCATCAAATTCAGTGAAAACAGGCCGATTAACATAGGATTTCATGACCAGAAACATGAATATATAATCATCCTATAGCTAGTGACCCTCCTTATGATGAAGACATAAAATAAAAACAATAGGATGAATTATCATTGTTTTCTTGATAATTATCTGATTATCATAATTGAAAAAAAAAAAAAAAAATCAAATTGGGAGGCAGTGCTAATTTTTGGTATGTCAGGAGCCTAAATAAATTACTTGAAAAAACATAGCTTTTATATTTTTTGTTTGATTATCAAATTCTGAACAATTTTGAGGCTGAAAACTTCTCTTATTATAAACTTTGAAATAATTTAAAAAATTTTCCATTTTCTCAATTTCTAAATTGCATCGTACATTGTAGCATATTTGTTTCGCTCTCTTTTTTTCAACGCAGTTTTTGATTTGTGTATATAGTTGTGATTAATTCCTGTGTTAAAAAGTTTTCTTTGAATTCTGTTCAGAAGAAATATGAGTATCATATCTAACTTCTTTTACCTCATTTTAGTTTGTATAATTTAGTTATGGGTTAAATATTTCTTATATTGGTAACTGCAGAGCTTGATCAGGTCACAAGCATTCTTAATTGTATAAAACACTGATTGTAGAAAAATTTATATGAAGTTTTGAATTATGATGTTAGAGCTTATTTTGTTTTTATAAAGAGTCTGTTTTATGCTTTAAAGTGATGGAAATATTGTTCATTAAATACTTACAAAATTTGTGAATACATACAATACATATAGATAGATTTTTTTTTCTAGATTTAAATTATTTGTAGTTAATTATATTGCCTAATGCCGTAAGATAGGAAGGTTTGTCTGATTGAAACCTAATTTCAGTGAATTTTATTGCATTGAACATTATGGAAGTTAAAAGAAAATGATTGACTTGTTTTAAATAATATCTTGTGGAATGTGGAGACTTTACTGAATACTGTAAATTCTGAAATGTTTGCTTGCATTCATTATTGGGATCTTTGAACAATGGACAAACATGTGAGTTTCATCATTAGGATTTCAGGAATTGTTGTATACAATAATGCTACCAAAATTTAAATTGTGAGTTTTTATTTTTGCAAATTATAAAAACGTTGCAAAACTTTTTGAATTTACATTACATTTTAGCTACCTTGATTTTAGGACCAAGCATTGGGATTTTCTTCTTTATACATCAGTTGTCAATTACTTATAAGCAACCAGTGACCAAAATAAAACCAAATTTGTAACTTTAATACCTAGCCAAAGGCCTGCATAAACTTTTGTCATCATTTAGTGCACCTCGTCCATTTGTAAATTTTTCATATTTTCAACTTTACTGAAACTGATGGAATTCTTAAAAAGTAACTACTAAGAAATGTTTTTACAAGATAATGACTAAGACTTGACTTTGTAGGAACAATTGGATTTTAACACTAATGAAATGTTCCAATTAAATGTTAAATGTTGTTAATATTTTTGCCAATCAGGCAACCAATTTTTATTCAATATCTGGGAATTAGTTTTACAGTAAACCATATTGGAACTATCACATCACTTGAATAGAATTACTTTTGGAATTTGGAACCATGCAAATCAGGTTTGAAATAAAGATTTTGTGAAAGACCATTTCTACACTGGAGACTAACATTAGCCTGTATTGCAAACCTGATGTGTATTTCAATAAACATTTTGCAATCAAATCTGAAACTTGATAAGACCCGTGACCATAACCAGTAATGTGTTCTGATTAGTTGAAAATTGTAATTTTGAATCTGATCTAAAATTTAAAGTGTATCTTAATAACAGGTAACAAAGGTGGTTAAATTGAATCCTGTATAAACCCATTATGCAGGATCTTGTGATTCACATTTTACTTAATTTGTTTTAAAAAAAAATTAAAAAATTGTGTAATATTTTTGTTCAATATACCTTTTTTTGATTGTATGACTCTCAGGTGCACAAGAAAGGATATTGTTTTGAGTTTTGTATGAGATAAGCATTTGTATGACATGAAAACATTTTTTTTTGTAGATTTATTTTTGTTCACAAAACTAGTAGAAGGTATTGATTTACATATACATTCTCTTACATTTGCATGCATTATTGACAAAGGCAAGGTTGTCTGTGTATGTTCAATTTTCCTTTTGTTGTGTTTCATATAAGACAAAAAAGAGCCAAAAAGTGGAAAATACAAATGTACATATTTTAAATCTCCATGAACCATTCCACATGAACACACTCAAAAATTACTACCTGAAAATGAAGAAGAAAATGACAACGACTTGATTTCATAGTTCAAATCATGGTACTTAATAAAGTAAGATTAATTGAAACTCAAAACATCAGTAATAATTTGAAAAGGTATATGTATAAACCTGATAAAATGTAAGACAACATTTAGTTTAATTTTCTCTATGGACTTAATAATGACATGACATTATGTAAATGATTAAATTGACATAATTAGAGACAATTATTGTGAAGAGCAGCTATTTTGTTAAGAAATACTCCTTTGAAGGTTTTTTTTTCAGTAGTTTTATGTAAGATGTTCTAATTGAATAAAACCATGTTCATTAAAATTTGAAATTTATTTTTTCATTGAAAAGAATAAAATTTATGTATCTTTAAATTGTTAATAAAAGTTTCAAGGATAGTCATTTTCATACATTTTTGTTCCTCAAATTTCCATTTTATTAATATAGAACTATGATTGAGTTATGATAATTTTTTTAATATTTTTTTGGTTTTTTTTTGTCTCACATGCAAAGAACATTGCAGTTAGAAAGACAAATGTATTACTTTTATGGTAGCAACAGCATTAACAATTTTAAATAATTTCAATTTGCACTGTCATAAGGATGATAAAAATGTGTTTCTAAATACTTTTTGAAGAGACCTTGTTAGCCAGTCGCTGTGATATGGTTGTCAAACATGTGTGTTCATCTGACATGGCCTTGACCTTGGTTTCACACACCAGTTGTCCAGTTAAGTTTTCAGTATGAGATCAGTTCCTCAGTATCTATGCATGATAGATTAATGATATTTGGTATGTTGATTGGTTGGGAAGAATATGTCCATCTGAATTAAGTTATATGACTTTGACCTTATTAGCTTATTTGTTGTAATCTTCTTCTTCATAATGCAGTTATAAGATTTATATATATATATAGCTGTGAATAATTCCTGTTATAATGATAGTGAATTAATTCATTGCCTTTCAAACAAATTCAATATTTCAGCAGGTGATACATTTTAGTGTGTCAACTTTTGTTAAAGATTGCAAACAATTATAGTCTTAATACAACATAGATGTGTTGTCACTTTTGATTTTCATGTATATGTAGATATGTTAGTCGTAAAAGAATATTTTTGTGATATTTAGTAGAAAATGTCAATTTGATTTTACTAATGCAGAAATTTTGAACACATTCATTTTAGAAAGATATATCTTCTTATTCTTACATTTCACAAAATATTATTTAATTTCTTAATAAATGTAAAAGTTGCCAGCTGTCCTGGCCAATGTGGCATATTGCTTTTACTTGACATCTGTCGTCTGCTGTTATCCATAAACTTTAAAACAAAATGTGTTCATAATCCATAAGGTCAATTCAGATAAAACTTTGCCACAATCATCTCTGTAGTGTCAAGTTTTAAAATATGTAAACCAACAATCATGGTTGTCATTCTTGAAATGTAAAGTTGGGACAGAACAACAATATTGATGTATTTTTTAGAATATTTAAAGCCAAATGTTGGTGAAATGGTCCTAATATCCTCCTTTTTCAAAATCATGTAAAATGGCTTTCATCTTTCTACCAAATTACCATCTGAAACTACTTGACTTATGCAAACCAAACTAAGAAGGAATAATGAATGGCAAGTCCTTCAAACAAAGCCCTTATATTTCTTCTCATAGGGCAAAACATGGTCCCAGAGACCAATCTTGATAGTCATTGATATATTTGGAGAATGGCAATTGTTGACTTTTAGTATATATTCAGGTGAATGATACAATCTCTGCAGAGTCTCTAGTTTAAAGTGAAGTTTATCATATAAGAATGATATTTATGCATTGATATTTCTAGAATTCAGACTTCTTACATAGGGCATTTTTGTTATACTTTTCTTCAACACTATGGTACTCTTACGCTTGTGATTTCATGTTAACACTTCTCTTTATAAATAAAAGAACACAGTAGTATTTACTCAGAAAACTTTTTGTTGTTTTTTATATTGATTTCTATACTTGAATTTAATGGATAGAAAAACTGGCACTGATTTAAAGGAGTAGGTTCTCAAAGGGTCAATATTGGCCCTATAATTCTGTAAAATTTTAAATACAGTACTAAAAATGAACATCTGATGACAAAATATGGAAAATTATCAGATGAATACAAAATCAACAAGTTCTGAGCATTAGAACACTATGATGTCATATATGAACACTCTCATGAAGAAAATCTTAATTTTGACTACCTTTTTTGCTAAATATTTATAGTTTTTGCTTCAAACAACATTGGCCACATGCAAGGACCACCATGAATTTTTGTAAAAATGTATAGCTGATCCATATACATCTTTGCTAAAATCCTGTTACTTATCATACTTTTGAAGCTGTCAAAATGGTAAAAATGAACAGCAGACAGTAAAAGGGTCTAGTTAATCTAAACTTGCATATTGAAGATCGTAATTATAGGTTTTAGCATAGGATATTACAAAAGGTTTATTTTCAGAGCCAAATTAAGGCCTATGTGAAATTATTTATTACATAAGCATTCAACAGATTCATTATTTTATCTGATGTATTAAACCATACATCAGAATTTAGTATTTTTTGTCTCGCCTTGACAGAGTCAAAAAGCGAGACATAGGCGGCGGCTGCGTCAACAATGTATTACTTTGTGATTAGGTCTAGTTCATGGTGAACCACTAGTGGTAGGTCAGTGATATTTGGTCTGCAGTTTTATAAGCATTGGCACATTTCATTACCACAGAGATTATTTGGCAGTGGCGTAGCTAGGCCGTTTTTAAGTGTACGCCTGAACCCCGACCTCCTGGATCTCCTGCACCTGCATATGGAGTATATACATGCCAGTTGATATGATATTCCAGAGCTTGCATTTCCTATCATCATTTCAAGTGGTGAGGTTGAAATCATCACTTCGTAAATTTTACGAACGCAATCACGAGTTAGTTGACCGTTATGGAATATCCGTTATACATATGATATCGGATATGTTCCATATGTCGTAACTACAATCCTGTTCCCTTTTCACGAATGTGACCTACCGAATTACACTATTTACCGACTTTGTAATAACATGAACACGACGGGTGCCACTTTTGGAGCAGGACCTGCTTGCCCTTCCGGAGCACCTGAAATCAACCCCAGTTTTTGGTGGGGTTCGTGTTGTTGTTGTACCCCTATTTGTGACATTTTATTCACGCATCGTTGTCAATATAATGGAATTTGATGCGACTGTCGTACAAGTGAGAGGTTTAGCGCTATAAAACCAGGTTCAATCCACCATTTTCTACATAAGAAAATGCCTGTACCAAGTCAGGAATATGACAGTTGTTGTCTATTCGTTTGATGTGTTTGTGCTTTTGATTTTGCCAGTTGATTAGGGACTTTCCCGTTTTGAATTTTCCTCGGAGTTCAGTATTTTTGTGATTTAACTTTTTCCTTGATAGATAGTGGATGCTTACAAGGAAGCTACTGAACTAATGCTGCGTTCACACGTAATTCGAATTCGATTCGCATTAACTAATTCGAATTAGTTTAATTCGCATTTGGACGTTATTTCTAATTCGAATTGCAATACGCGTCAAATTTGCTTTACTGTCCGAACGACGTTAACTTTTAATTCGTATCAACAAAAACGGATTTCTAATGCAAATTGGTTAATGCGAATTAGCCAATTCGAATCAATTCGAATTAAAAAGTAAGAGTGTGTGAACGCGATTAGCGAATTCGATTCGCATTCGATTCGAATTAAATGTACGTCTGAACTAGGCACAAGAGTTCCAAGTGGTGAAGTTGAAATCATCCCTTCGAAAATTTTACGTTGACATAACGAGTAGGTTAATGACGACGGATATGTTCCAATTGTTGATATTACCACAATCCCGTCCTCTTTTCCTCTAATGTGATCTACTGAATTAGACTTATCACTGGGTTTGCACACGTGGAGTAGAATTTGCTTACCCTTCCGAAGCACCTGAGATCACCCCCAGGATTTGGTATGGTCCATGTTGTTAAGTCTTATGTTTCTATGTTGTATTTTGTATACTGTTGTTTGCCTTTTCATAGTTTTTCGTTTTTTGACATGGTATTGTCAGTTTGTTTTCAACTGATGAGTTTGAATATCCCTTTCGCGTCTCTTTTAGAGTCTAATTTGTTTTTTACAGTTAAATGTACTGATTTGGAATATAATGGTAATGTATTTATAAAGAGAAAAAATGCCCAAAACAGTTGCTTAAAAATATGTTTAGAAGCAATCTAAAATTTATATCTATATTTACTCGTATGCTCGTATCTTATGAGTATAACGAAATCAGAGATATATATTTTAATTAGATTGGTTTAAAAGGAGATGTGGGGTAAACATTCAATCGACAAAAAATCAAAACTTTATATAGAGATAGTCAAAAAGCAAGTCTCCATTTCAATGTTGTCGTTCTATTCATTTTTTTGACCTTATAGATCTAGTTTACTCACCTTTTTACACTCAAATGTTGTTAATGGACATATCTTCTAATTAATTTTCATAGATGGGCAGGTGTAACGTAAAAATAAATATTGAACTGTAACATAAAAATGCAAGCCACATCGTATCTGACCAGATAATGAATTGCTTTAAACAATAGTAAACTGAGTAGAATTCACAGTAGATTGAGACTTTGACAGAAAATGAAAAAAATATATAATATAAAATATGAAAACAACAATTATTAATTTCATATGAGTTTGAAGCGCTTTTCTGGATTTACCTTCATCAGGAACCCTCAAAGCCGAATATTTTAAAGTCGATGATGTATAAGAACCGAAACAGTTACAGATCTACATGTATATGAACTTAAAGTACCTAATAAATCATATGATACCATTTGATTAAAAAATATATTTCGTCACTTTGTCGTTTATCTCCAATTACAAGTCATTGAAGAAAAAAATACAAGGCTCGTTGCTTTTTGAATCAGTTCTTATAATTTATTTGGGTTCAAATATTTTTTTCTTCAAAATTTATGTGTACGCCTGGGCGTTTTGACGTAAACGTAGTTACACGCATGTTTGGCCCCGCCCCCTCAGTCAAGGTCCATTGACTTTGAAACTTTGCTTAGTTTACATGTATTAGTTTGTGATTAGGTCAGTTTATGGGGAACCACTAGTGGTAGGTCAATGATATTTGGTATGCAGTTTTATTAGTATTGGCACATCTCATTACCATGGAGATTATTTGGCCCCGCCCCCTCAGTCAAGGTCTATTGACTGTGAAACTTTGCTTAGTTTTCATGTATTAGTTTGTGATTAGGTCAGTTTATGGGTAACCACTAGTGGTAGGTCAATGATATTTGGTATGCAGTTGTATAAGCATTGACATATCTCATTTCCATGGAGATTATTTGGCCACCCCCCCTCATTCATAGTCTATTGACTTTGAAACTTTTGCTTAGTTTTCATGTATTAGTTTGTGATTAGGTCAGTTTAAGGGGAACTGTTAGTGGTAGGTCAATGATATTTGGTATGCAGTTGTATAAGCATTGGCATATCTCATTTCCATGGAGATTATTTGGCCACCCCCCTCATTCATGGTCTATTGACTTTGAAACTTTTGCTTAGTTTTCATGTATTAGTTTGTGATTAGGTCAGTTTAAGGGGAACTATTAGTGGTAGGTCAATGATAATTGGTATACAGTTGTATAAGCATTAGCACATCTCATTTCCATGGAGAATATTTGGTCCTTACCCCTCAGTCATGGTCTATTGACTTTGAAACCTTTACTTAGTTTACATGTATTAGTTTGTGGTTAGGTCAGTTTAAGATGAACCACTAATGTTAAGTCAATGATATTCGGTATGCAAATGTTTTGGCATTTGCAAGTTTCATTTCCATGGAGATTATATAACCCCACCCCCTAATTATGGTTCATTGACTTTGAAACTTTTACATAGTTTACAAGTTAATGTTTGTGTTTAGGTTTGTTTAAAGGAAACGAAGTCAATGGTATTTGGTTTGCAGTTGTATTAGCATTGGCACATCTCATTTCCATGGAAATTGTTTAGCCCTGTACCTTTAGTCATGGTTCATTGACTTTGAATATTTGCATAACTTACATGTTAAAGTATTGCTATTTTAATTTCAACATTTGCATTATCAGAATAACAAATAGGCGAGACATATCTCTGTGTTAACAGTTTATTTTAAGTAGTGGTTATATTTTGGTATGTCAAGTTTTGGTACTTAATGTCAATACCATATTTTTGTCTCGCCTTGACGGAGTCAAAAAGCAAGACATTGGTATGCTGTTTGTGGCGGCGGCATCTACAATGTATTAGTTTGTGATGAGGTCAGTTTTGTAGGGAACCACTAGTGGTAGGTCAATGATATTTGGTATCCAATTGTATTAGCATTGGCACATCTCATTTCCATGGAGAATATTTGGCCCAGCCCCCTCAGTTGTGGTCTATTGACTTGAAACTTTTGGCCCTGCACTTTCAGTCATGGTTCATTGACTAAGATTTTGAATGTTTTGATACTTTACATGTTAAGGTATTGTCATTTTAGTTTCAACACATATATGCAAGACATATCTCTGTGTCAACAGTTTATTTTTCATTTAATTAAATTATATATAAGTTAATTTTATTGTTTTATTTAGGTCTAATCATTTCTAATTAATGTTTTATAATATCTTTAATCTTTCATTTATCTTTTTGAAGAATGATTTTGGCACTTTCATATGAGGCACTATATGCCGCACTAATATAGAATTGTCTTGTGCTTAAATCAAACCTAAACTTACAGTGAGGTGTGATTTTTTTTACTCCGTGTTGAAGGCCTCACTGTGACTTTGAGATGAAAAACAACAATTGAAGTGCTGTTCCTTTGCTTTTTGTGTGTTTTTTGCTGTGCATGTACTGATTTTTTTTGTTTTTCTATTTAAAGTTATGGTTCTGTTTTGTTTTAGTGACTATCATTGAACATTTTGT